CTGTGGGCACCATGTGGCCAGCTCCCTGCGGGAAACAGGCGGCAGCAGGTCAGTGCCGGCTGTGGGGCTCCCCGCAGCCCGGCCAGCACCGCGCTCTGACCGCAGCACTGGTGCCTGGCGTGCCTGCCTGTGCTGCGGACAGCAGCCCTGTCCCCATCTCCTGGAGCCCCCTCAGCCCTACCTTGACGGTGAGGAAGGCGATGTTGGTAAATTCCTTCACGAAGCCCCCGATCTGGTTCTCGCCTCCTTCAGAGTAGAGCCAGGGCCGGCGAGCCACCTGCACCTGGGACCGGCGGCAGCGCCCTCAGTGCCCCGGCTGCCCGAGGCGCGTGGCCAGCCCAGCCCGTGCCCTCGCCGCAGCCAGCCCCGGCACGCAGCCGACTGCACAGCTCGGAGCTGGTGGCCGGCTGGCCCAGGCCCTGCCCATTTACCTTCTGGCACAGGGAGTCCACAAACCACTCGTCTCCAAGGAAGTTGCAGGCCATGTCGACGTCTCCGTTGTACACCAGGATCCGGTATTTCTGCAGGGCAGGAGGAGAGTGAGCGTTTCACAGGGCAGCGGCCCTGGCCAGGCAGGAGGCGTTTGGCAGAGCCGATCCCAGGGCCCGATGGGTTCCCCTGCACGCACTGTGGCTCCGAGCAGCTTCAGGTACTGGTCGTTCATCTGCATGTACAGGCGCTTGTAGCTGCGGTTCACCTCGAAGCTGCAGAGGAAGTGTCGGCATCACGCGGCTGCGCAGGGTCACGGCGGTCCCTCCCCGCCCGGAGCTCGCTCACCTGCACACCTGCCACTCCGGGGCTTCGGGGCAGATGTGGAGAGCCTTCCTCACCTCCGGGGAGTTCAGATACACCCTGGGGGCCGTGGAGTTTGTGCAGGGAGGGTCCATCCGGACCTTCTTCCGGGCTACCGGCATCCGGAACAGGTTCTGGGAGAGCGTTGGGAGAGTCCCTGCCACAGCAGCACCTGGTGCTGCCCCATGGGAGCAGCTCTCTGCCTGCTCCTGCCCACAGGCAGCACTGCTGGCTGGGCAGAGGATGCTCGCAGCCTGGTGGCACGGGTGCCCGGGCTCACCTGCCGCCAGGAGAACCTCATCGGCATCCGGATGAAGGAGTTGCCCAGGTCATGTGTGATGAGGTAGTCACCCTCATACCTGCAGCCAGAACAAGCATGGGGAGATGCTGAAAGCTCTGGAGGAACAAGGGCTCAGGGTCCTCCCTGGGGGAGCCCTCGACAGCAGCCAGGAACGGTCCGCCTGTCCCAGAGGGATCCCCTGCCCAGCCCACCACGTCCCTCTGCCAGCCAGGACCCCACAGGCTGAAAACCAAAGCAAGCCCGTGCCCAGAGACCCATCTCCCCGGGGCCACTCCCACCTCATGCTCCCAGGGACACCGCCATCGCACGGGGCATAGAGGTTGTAGATGTTGAGGCCGGACTCCTCTACGATCTGAATCATCTCCTCCATCTGCAATGAGCCACAAGAAGGGGTTGGGACTCAGCAAGGCGCTTGAGGGACCATGGGCTCACCCAGAGCCAGGCGGGTGGGTGCTGCTCACAGACACCAGCACTGGGCACACGCTCGGGGGCTCCGGTTCCCCTCACCTTGAGCGTGCAGTTCAGGTTGGAGTTGTCGTGGAAGTTGCACGTCCCTTGGGAGCAGCAGAAGGCCTGCAAGTCCTTCCACAGCCTGCAGGCAGAGACCAGGGGATTGGACCGCACTGCCCAGACAGCAACACTGACACAAAGCCAGAGGCTGCAGCCTTCCTCCCCAGCAGCACATGCGGCTCAGCCCGGTGCCCCGCATGCCCCTGGGAGCTGCCCAGGATGAAGGGCCACCTCCACAGCCCGGCTGCTGGCCCAGGTCAGGCCAGGAGCTTCCTTTGTCCCGCGCACCACCACCCCAGCCAGCCCCGTCCCGTGCCGTGCCCCCATCCTGCTTGCACAGGGACAGCGCATCCAGCGGCAGTGCTCCCCCTCCTCTTACTCAGTCCCCAGCAAGCCATGGTAATAGGCAAAGTAAACCAGGGAGTTGTCATTGATCTCGTAGGAGGACAGGCCATTTCCCACAGCGATTCCCTGCGAGGCAAGAAGAAAACAACTCTGTTGTGTTCCAGCTCCCCACAGGGCAGCCGCAGCAGCAGGCAGGAAGCAGATGCGGCACTGTTTACTCCACGCAGGGAACAGGAAGGGTCAGGGGTGCCTGAGAACGCTCCCCTGGCCCCACTTGGCAGGGACGGACACGTCCGCCAGCAGCCACTGCCAGCACCCCAGGAGAAGATGAAAGGCCGTGGGGCCAGACCCGCCCTACGCCCCGGAGGGGGCCCCACACGCCAGCTGCACGGCCGGTCCCCACCTCGGAACTGCTCGAGCGCCCCAGCGAGGCCGTGCCAAGCCCTCCACTCCCCAGCTCAGCCCAGGCTGGCGGCAGAGCCCAGGCGCTCACCTTCAGGTTGAGGCTGGGGTCCTGCATCACCCACTCGGCCAGCGTGGGGATGTAGACCCCCCCATAGCTCTCCCCAGTGAGGAAGAGATCGTTCTTGGAGTACTCGGGGAAGAGCCTGAGGAACTCCTTCAGCGCCAGGTAGTTGTTGTGAGCGACCTGCAGGCAGGAGGACACGAGGGTCAGGCAGGAGGCAGGACCCCCAGAGCCTGGGGGG